TACACTGGAAACTCACATGAAGTTGGAAGGAGGGAACTGTCACTACAGAGTGGTTCCCTGGACTCCACGTGTGTGCCATGGGAAGGCTACCCCTTCTACCACATAAAAATAAATATACTTAAGTTCAATCAGATAAGAACTATCTACCTAGAATACACCCTCCTCAAGGCCTATCCCACACTTGTAAGCTACACACATCAATTATGTATGAATTTTTATACATTAATTATTCTTCAGTGAAAGGGCTTCAAAAACGCAGGGCCTTTCATTCACTCTATTTTTGTGTTTAACATATTAACATGTTAAAATGGTAAATATATATGAATTCGATGATAAATTTTACAACCAAATAAAGGATTACAGATTAAGTGTACATGACTGCCTCCATCCAGAGCCCTTCCCCCAAAGAGGAGGAGGGGCCTATGTTATCTGATCATGTCTTGGACTAAACTGTGCACTGAATTTTTGAAAGCTTATTAACTTAGTAAATGTGAAGATATAAATAAAATATATGAGCAAAGAATGCCATTATTATTTTTAACACATTTCAAAGGCTTGTGCTATGGTTTCATTGGGAAATTGCCCCTCCGGTTCATGTGTTGAAGGCCTGTCTGAAGGGGTGGCTCCATTATGGAGTCTGTGGAACCTTGGGGAGGTAGGGTCTAGTTGGAGGAGGTGGGTCACTGGGAGCGGGCCTTAAGATCGACAGCACTGCTTCACTTCCCATTTCTCTCTGCTACCAAGCTCTTAATGCCACAGCCATAAGCCAATGCTAAAGCCATGATGTACTATATCCCCCAAACCTCTCTTAAGTTGTTTGTCGGACATTCAGCCACAGAAATAATGGTAATGATGATAATATTAATAACAAATTAATACAGCTTGTTCACTGAAGTAGACATAATGATAAGACTTGTATTAATTTATGGACAATGGAGCTAGAGAGAGAGCTCAGCAGTTAAGAGCACTATTTACTCTTTTGGAGGACACAGGTTCAATTCCCAGGACCCACTTGGTAGGTCACAACCTTCTCTAACTCCATTTCCAGGGGATCCAACACCCTCTTCTAAGCTCTGAGGACACTAGGCATGCATGTGGTACACAGGCATCCATACAGGCAAAACTTATACATATAAAATAAAAACAAATATTTTTTATTTGTTATGAATAAAGACTGCCATAGGAGTTAAGTCAAGTAGAACCTCTCACTTGCATCGAGACACAGGAAATGGGCCGCACTTACTTCTCTATGATGATGTTTGCCGCACAGTCTTGTCCAAGGTTTTCTATGAAGGTTTGGACATCCTGAATAAGTCTTAAAAATGTGAGAAGAAAAAGAAAAAAAAAAAACAGATTCAGGAGAGGAAAAAAATTAAAGCCCCAAAGTTAATACTACAACCTCCTTGAAATCTCAGCACAGATGTAACTCCACCCATGTGTGACATGTTGACATAGTGACATTTTTACCTCTGATCACGCCTAAACACTGTTCCAAACACACAAGCCTCCAGGACAAGTTCACTGTAATCCTTAGCACTGGAGAACAAGCTGCTGTGGGACACACCACAAGCAGCTGCTATCCAAGACTGGCAGCAGTGACAGATCAGAATATTGAAGACCCCTGTTTTTATGGAGGACATTTCAATTATCTTGCACATAATCTGAAATGAAACACAACACTCAGGTTAACCTTTGACCAGGCCAGTTAAAAAGAAAATTAGCAGCACAACAATGATTAAAATTAGCAGTGTAATAGTTTTACTAAAAACTATTACTTCCTGATAATAGTTCCTAAAGAAATAAGCCCTCCTGGCCTGGGATGGTTAATCTTTAAACAAGTCAACTTGACAGACATAGAATGGATGAGGAGACACATGTCTATGAATGCCTATGGGGATGTTCCCAGAGGCGCTCTGCAGGCTGGGGTCCTAGGCTGAATTAAAAGGAGGAAGTGAGCTGAGCATTAGCGTTTATACCTCTGTTTCCTGATTGTGGATGCCATGTGACCAGCTGCCTCATGTTCCTGCTGTCATGCCTTGCCCACTGTGATGGACTGTGTCCTCAAACCGTGAGCCAAGAAAAATGTTTACTTCTTTCAGTTGCTTTTGTCAGGCATTTTGTTATAGCAATGAGAAAAGTAACACAGAGCCTGGTCCCAAACCCTGTATATTGAATGCAGAATACATATAGCTTTTGATGTCAACCTACAAAGGGGTGTCAACGTGGAAAACAAAACTCTTGGGACCTGATGGAGAGTCCTTTCCTTTTGTGTGCAGCATATTTACTTGCTGACATGGTAAATGGGAGTTGTGTGATTAAATTTATCTGAAAAGATCCCCAAACTAAACTCTACTTGAATGTCAGACGAACCCTAATCATGGAATGCTAAGTCCTAATGTTTTAATGGTGAATGCTAAATCCAGTATTCCTGGCTGAGCCGTCCATCCAGAACTCTCTAGGAGAGACACGTGTCAAGGACAGAGAAAGAGAAGGCAGCCCCTCCCTGCAGAAATATGACCTCAATGCTCCAGGAGGCAAAGACCACAGTCTCCTGCTGTGTCCCACAGTGGGCAGAAGGGCAGGAGGGGCAGCATGGATCAAGTACAGGAATGGGAAGCAACCTGAATTTCCAACAGGATGGAATCCCATTGAGTCATCCTCCCTGCTGAAGGAGTGGCTGCAAATGTAAGTACAGCCATCCCTGACAGCCCTGGGGAACTGCCCCAGAATGCCCCTGGATGGCAATCTGCAGAGGTTTCAAGCCCTGTTCATTTAAACAGTGTGCAGTCTGAATGGAGCCTGCATATGGGAACATTATGGCTACTTTAGATCAAACATACAACCTGGGCCCATGGCTGCAGCTGTCCCAGGACAGACACAAATATCAAAACATGTCTATAGACAGTGATGTTATGTTGCAGTACCCAAAGGCTGACACCCTGCTCCTAGTAATCTCTAGATTGCTGATAATATCAAATACAGTACAAATAGTTGTCATATTTTTACAAATAGCAAAAAGGCAGTACTGAGGCAAACTTTTTAAAAAATATTCCTTTTTTTAAATCTTAAAATGTTTTACATTCACTTCTTTTGGGAAGGGTACACAAATGCCACAGGATACATGTGGAAGACAGAGGATTACATTCAGGAGTTGCTCTCAACTTTTACCAGGTGGGTGGAATCCAACTCTGGTTTTTAGACTTGGCAGGAAGCATCTTCACTGAGCCATCTCTCTGGCCCTCAAATACTCCTTCTTATTGGCTAGATCTGTGGATGGTGAAGCCTCAAGTTCAGGGGGTTGTCCATACCTCCAGAAAACAAAGACTTTTACATCCTGTATTTCTCTACATGATTTAAAGACACATGAGAATGCATTGTAAGAGCAAGGACAAAAGGTGCCTGTCATGCCCTTCAGTCCATGTCAGTGTCAAAGTATACCAGCTGGGCTCCACACCATGCTCCTGCTGTCCTACAGGAGGCACAATGCTTCCAGGCTACCCAAGTCTCTCAGAGAGGGAAGAGCCAGGCCTCCTGAGTTCCCAATCCTTAACTTGCCAAGTGAGTCAAGTTTAATTTTGTTGCTGTTTGTTTTGAGAAGGGGTCTCACCATGTAGCTTTGGCTGGCCTACAACTCAATATGTAAACCAGATTGGTTGCAAACCTAAACAGATCCACTGGCCTCTGCCCCCTGAGTGTTAAGACTAAAAGTGTGCCCTGTCACACTCAGCTGGGACTCAAGATCGTAAATATTGTCTGAACACGGAAGGAAGAGCTGTGTCTGAATGTAAAGTGTCCCCAAGGCTCATGTGTTACGATCCCTTTGTCCATCTTGCAGAGATGTTTTGAAAGGTGGCACTTCTGAGGGGTACAGACTGTATGCCTGCTTTGGTCTGTTCTCTGCTTCCTGGTACACTAGCATGTCTGAAGTTGCTGCTTCCTTCTCCTTTCACTCCAGAGGGAGCAGCCATGTTCCCTCCCTATCACAATGGACTATATCCCCTGAAACAGTGACCCAAAGCCAACCTTTCCTCAAGTCCTGCCTATGGTCTATCTGGTCACAGCAGCTGGAAGTAAATGACACAGTAGGGCAGGTGGGTGTTGGGCCCCACCCTGAGCCTCCTGTCTCTGTCATATATCCTCATCTCATGCAAGACAAATTCTGAGAAAAAAGCCCCAGTCCTAGTACTTGATTACAAACACACCTCTTCTTTTGCTTGTCTTACAGACAGCACAAAATGCAAAGAGAAAAAAGTTACCTCTTTTATTTTGAAGTATCCCTGACCCTTGAGTTTTGCAGCAATGGTAAGAATTTCATTATTAAAAACAAAGTGAATGAAGGCTTTTAAATTAGGCCAGAATGTCAGCTGAGTGTTGCTCAAGGAAGATATGATTTTCCAAGCCATGTCAAAAGATTCTATGCAGAGTGACTCGTCTGAAGTCAGGAGCTGGCAGAAGGGGATGAAAACACACAGTGGTCAGTCTCAGAAATACCATTGTTTCTTCATCACCCAATTCACCTTTACCTGCATCTCACCTTGGGAACCAGCACCTCCATACAGCGGAACACAGGTAAGATGCAGCCTGCAGGGAGGACCGTGAGGACGTCCAGAGCGGACCGCAGGGTCTGCACAGGCATCTCGACAGCAGGGAGAAAGCACTCCAGCCTGTCACTTTCCGTGGTTGGAATAAGGGGGTAGTGCTTTCTCAGCAGGAAGGAGAGGCAGACCCACTGATCGTGTAGGTACTGTGCCGCTATTTTCCCCCATCCTTGAGAAGATGATGATTCTTCAAAAACACTGAAAGTTTTAAAAGAAAGATACTAAGCCGTACACTTTCCCAAATTCATCTTCATTTCTTTGGTATGTGGTGCTGTTCCTTATAGAGGCAAACATAGATGGGTGGTTTGAAAGTGGTCTGGCTCCTACAAATCCTTGGACAGAACTGGGCAGGAGGGAACTGGGAGGTGGGGGCTCTTCCAACTTTTCCATCAGGAGGTAAAGCACCATGAAGCCCTCTCCAGGATCCAGGTGGATGCTGGTGCCACATTTATAGGCTTTCAGTCCCCAATATCATAAGTGTTTCCTTATAAGCTACCCAAGCTCAGATAATACTGTTACAGCAACGGAAAACAGACCGAGAAAGGATAAACAGCCTACCCACTAAACACTGAAGCAACCCCACAGACTTAAATGTACTACAAGGAATTTCCACAACCTTGAGAGACTCATTGAAAACTAAGTCAGAAAGGCCAGCAAGTGTCAGACAAGGGAGATGAAGAGCCTAATGGTGCACTCTAATCCAAAATGGAGCCTCATCTCCCCAGCTCCACTATACCATGAGCACTGTCAGGGATCACTAATGACCATGATTATAACAAAAACCAGATTGTTAACCCTTAACCAAGACGTTCCTCATTCACCTGCCATTCTCCAAGGGATGCACACAGCCGTTCTGTTCCTCTGAACGGGGCTTCTGCAGCATCTGATTGAGTGGAAGAGTTGACAGGAACCTGTCCATGGGCTCAGCATCCAGCTGCAGCACTGGGTGCTGGTCCACAGCTTCACACAGAGCTGCCAGGGTGGCCATGCTGACTGCTCTCTGCACCTGATGACCCAGGGTTGGCTCCTGCAGAGGACAGAACAAGCCTGATGCAAGGGAATCAAGTCTCAGTCTGAGGAGACTAGGGCTGCAAAGCTGCAACACCTCATGCCCTGCCTCCCTTCATGTTGCTGCCGAGCATCAGTGGGATAAAGAAGTTCAAGTGTGGCAGTTAGTCCTCAGCATGTAAGAGGAAAATTCAGCCTCTACAATAAGGGCTGCCTAGATCTTATATGGCCTATAAGTAACAATGCCCTGGTTTCATCAGGGTTCAAAACCAGGGGCCAGCCTCTAAATTGGGCTTCTAACCACTCTGCCTTTCCTCTGTTATGTTTAAGACATACATACAGGCACTAAAATCCTGTGGGGACATAACTGCATAAATTACAACACAAACTGTGAAGAAGGAAATAAACACCCCTGTGTAGGCATGAGGGGCACAGGGAAAATGAAGGAAGTGGCAAGCCAGAGGGAAACCTCAGGTAGGAGGTGCTATGGTCTAAGTGTGAAATCACCCAGGCTCACATGAACACATGATCCTCAGCTGGTGGTACTGTTTGGGTGGATACGGAATCCTAGTTATCATCGGTGGGTCACTAGGGGGTAGGCCTTGAAGACATTTCTGGAATGAGCTTTGTACTTCCTGGTTTGTTGTGATGTCAAGAGCTCTACCCATACTCTCACTGACAAGGAGCCACCACACCATGCCTCCCCCACCATGACACCTGTCTCTTAAATGCTAAGCAAGAAAGAACCCTTTCCTTAAGTCACTTGTGACAGAAAAACTGTAAGTGGTCACTTGGGCCAGCTGCAGCATAGGGCACCATGGAAACAGGAAGAAAGGGTAGACAACTGGCCTGGAAGTCAAGGAAGGAAGCTAAATATGGAAGCTGTGATTTAAAGTTAATGAAAGGGTTCTGTACTGGGCTAGTGTGAGCAAGGAAGCTAAGACACTGCCATATCCACACTGAGGTCATTTTAAGACTGAAGAATTTCTGGCTATGAAGGCATGGGAGAAGATAGGAGGCTGAGGCAGGAGGATCATGAGTTCAGGGTCTGTCTGGGCTACAAAGGGAGTTCAAGGTCAACCTGAGTAATCTAGTAAGATTCGGTCTCCAAGTTTAAATAGGATGGGGTGGGAGGGCACTGATATGGTTCAGTGGTAAAGCATATGCCCAGCACAAAAGCATCTTAAACTACAGGTTGTGACCCCACAAGTGTATAATTGAAGGTGGGATCATGAAAACTCTGACAACAATCAGAGGTTTTTGAATGCCCAGTAACTCAAATTAATTGAAAATCAAACATGTGATGAGTCTAAGGTGTTTCTGGCTGTGCTTATCCATATTGTGGGACTTCATGGAGTCTTGGTTCTGAAACATAGCATTCTCACCTTTACTTCACACCACACAGAGCCAGTGAGCACTGCCAGGCACACCTGGGCCCAGAGGGAGACTATTGTTATCTATCTTATAAACAGTGTGTGTACAAAGTTTTCAGCTCTTACAGAACCACAGGCTCAATTACAGAAGACAAAGACTTGAATGTGTTCCTACAATGGTTCCTCAGCATGTGAACATAAATTAGTGTATCTTTCCATTGTACTGTTAGACAAACAGTACATTAGACAAACAGAGCATATTTACCTCATCATTATATAATTTACTTTCTTCTTTAATAAAGACTAAACTATATGCATACCAAAGAACTATTTTTAAATGTTTTATGATTTATTATCTGCAAATGCTTAATTTGTGTTCCTATTTCTCAGACTTATACACCAAGATTCATGAAAATTTTTCTTCAATTAAAAGGGGTCACAAGTGAAGCCAGACAGTGGTGGCACATGCCTGTTATCCCAGCACTCAGAAGTTAGAGGCAGGTAGATTTCTGAGTTCAAGGCCAGCCTGGGCTACACAGAGAAACCCTGTCTTGATAAAAATCAAAAAAAGAAAAAAAGGAAAGAAAAGGGGTCACAAGTGGAAAAAGATTAATTAGGGTATATGAGGCCATGTATTCAAACCAGCAAGAAGGAAGGAAGTGGGGGAGAAGGAAGGAGGGAGTAAAGGAGAGGGAAAGATGGGGAGAGAGAGAGAGAGGTATCAGATCTCTATTTTGTTCAATGCTGGGATGTATCCCAATTCTTCTCCACAGTATTAGTACCTACAGGCAGGATATTAACAATCAAATTTCAGAAAATCCTTTTTAAAATTGTAAAACATCATGGAGCAATCAAATAGGTATTCCTTGCTAGACATAACCACACACCTTCAGCCCAGGAAGATTACCTCTCCATCCTCAGCCTCCTGCAGATGGTGAATGCATGCATTTTTCAAAGGAGAAATGACTCGGCTGATAGGGTTGCCTGCTTTCCAGCCCTGCTTCACCTGGAGACTCGTGAGTTCAGCCAACACCTTCAGATATAGCTGGCAGCGGTCCAGATCTGCCACCTACAATAAATATCAGGACACAAAAGGACAATGGGACCTGTGAATTTCACACAAGTAGAATTCAGAGAGGAAGCAAACACTGCATTTAAATGCACTAACAAGACACTGAAGAGAAAGCCATTCCATAGTGCAGTGCCCAGAATGTCTTTATGTAGGCTAAGGATGTCCTTCCTTAAAGTCCAGACTTTCCCAGAACCTGATGACACCTTTCACAGCATAGGTGAACCTAAACCCTCAACTAGGAAGCCTTGGGAGGCAGAAAATGTTCCACAAATTTTTTTTTCTTAACACTTATTAATATTCATAGCAATAGGTATCTGTATTTTATTCCTGTATAATGAATTTTGTGTGGTTACCACAATCTCCCTTTCTAGTGTTCTTGACACTCCCAATGCTTTCCTCTTTCCAATGACCTCTTCTACTGCCTCAGGAGCATGGGTGAGGGATTTTTCACAGAAAGAAGCATGGGTGAGGGGTTGCTTACAGGAAGGAGAATGAGCACCTTCCCCATGGCTACACCCCTGAAGAAAATACCTCTCCTTCCCCTAGCAACTGTTTACTACATAGATATCCTCAGGAAGAGGCAGCCTTGAGAGCCCACCCCCACTGTGTGAGATGTTGATGGGCCCATGATTGTCCGGGTCTTGTGCAGAAACCTGGAGTCTTTCCAGCTCTTCCTTGCCAGGGCCAGCCCTTCATGAACAGTAACAGCAGTGACTACAAAGGCCATGCCTTAGTTTATTGCTAACAGACATCAGTTCTCAGGGGAAGGAGGACTGCCCTAATTCCAAATTAAGGTCCAACAACTCACCTAACACTTAAGAGCTAACAGGGGGAGGGACAGGAGCTTCTGGGAGAACTAGGTTCTTATACTCAACTGTTTTTGTTTTTTTTTAATTTATTTATTAGTTCTAGTTAGGGAACAAGCTTGTTTCACATGTAAGTCTCTTCTCCCTCTTACTCAACTGTTTTTATGACATAAGCTGAGTTCCTTAGTCTCCGGAGGCCTCTGGTTTCTCACCCATACAATGGAGACAGTAATATCGACAGTGTTGGGGAGATTAAGCCCTAACAGTGAGTGCTTTGATTCCAAGCACTCAAAGATAAAGGAAAATCTTTTTAGTTGTAGATGACCAGCTCTCTCCTCCCACCATGTGGGTCTCAGGGGTCTAACTCTGGTAGTCAAAATTAATGGCCTGTAAGTACCTGTACCTGCTGAGCCATCTCACCAAACCAAAGTTCTTTAAATGAGTAAATACATTTCCTCACCTTCTTGACAATCTACACAATCAAACTGCTTCAACATTTGTCCACAGAAGTTTTAAACGATAATAAGTAGAAACTTCTATAAAAACTAGTGTTTTCTCTAAGTAGTCTTAGAAAGAAAACTTTGATTATTTTATATACCCTACAAAGAATAAAACTATGGTTGTAGGAGACATAGCAGACATATTTAGGAGATCATCTGAACCCAGAGTACACTGTTCCCACCTCTGGCTGCACTTCAACCAAAGAGCAAAACTCACCACAAATAAACAAACCAAAGACAGAAAGAGAGAGAGAGAGAGAGAGAGAGAGAGAGAGAGAGAGAGAGAGAGAGAGAAAGAGCACGCACACACTCGCGCTCGCGCACACACACACAAATGGCTCTGGTCCCATCCTTAATCTAACATCCTGAATATCTGGCTCCAGGTCCCAGTTACACACAAATGTGTTAAAGGCTCAAATCCATCACACTGAAACCTTCCAAATGTGATAAGATGACAGACATATCATCTGGGGAAACTGAGGCTCAGAAAAGCTGCATCCCTTGCTTAGGTCACAGTTAATAATACTAATAGACTGGAAACTAGGTACACTAGATTGAATGTGAACCTCCCTTCACCCCTCACCCACACCCACACAGGCTCATGTGTTTACACACTTGACCCCAGCTGGTGGTGCTGTTTTGGGAGGCTATGAAACCTTGGGAGGTGCAACCTGAAGGGAGGGTGGATTGCTGGGAGGCAGGCTTTGGGGTTGGAGTCTAGCTACTTCTGCTTATATGGGTTGTAACCAGCTGCCTTACTCTCCCACTGCCCCAGCTGTAGCCTGCTCCCATCATAATCTCTTTCAGGCCATGATGGAACCAAGCCTCTCAAACTATGAGCCAAAATAAACCTCCTTCTGTTAAACTGCTGCTGCTGGGCGTTTACACAATACTGGGCTGTTCAGAAGTCTATGATGGCTCTGCTTCCCAGAGTGGCTTCTGTGAAACCATCACACTTTGACAGTTGACACAGTGAGCATCAACTGGGAAAGAAACAGCGGTGACAGGCTGCAGAAAGCTCCTGAAGCCCGAAGCTACTTACGCTCTGCAGCTCATTCATGGTAAGTCTCCTGAGCACAAACTGAGACACGCTGTCTGCAACAGACATGATGGAGGTCTGGAGGACAGAGGACACCTCATCTGTGGGGAGAATGTGTTTTATTAACCCAGTAGAAGTAGGGTCTTCGGTACAAACCATACCAGAAGCTCTTGTACAACCCTGAGACAGAAAGGCAGTCACTAGAGTCCAGGACTCCATACCACCACAGGCCCAGCACAAGGACACTGGATGGATTTCAGAAATGTGTTTTGTGGAAAAGAGCCTGATGGCTACTCTACTACAGCCTTAGAACATAAGAGGACACACCTTGGGCTAATGGCTAGAATTACAGACAGCAATAGTGACAGAGTAACAGGAAACTTGGGGAGGTGACAGGTATGTCCAGGCCTCACTAGATTTACCCCAAACTATGGGGTTAGACGTGTTAAATATGCACAACTTTCCTACAAGTCAGCCATGTTTCTTTTTTTTGTTGTTGTTGTTTTGTTTGTTTGGTTTTTTTGGTTTATCGAGACAGGGTTTCTCTGTGTAGCTTTGGAGCCTATCCTGGCACTCGCTCTGGAGACCAGGCTGGCCTTGAACTCACAGAGATCCGCCTGCCTCTGCCTCCTGAGTGCTGGGATTAAAGGCGTGCGCCACCAACGCCCAGCCAGCCATGTTTCTAATGGAAAGGTTATAAATCTAAAAGAGCCTTATGAACTGGGGGTGCAGCTTGGCTGGCAGAGTGCTTGCCTAACATGCAGGAAGCTTTAGGTGCCATCCCAGCATCATATCAAACTGGGCATGGTAGCCCATGCCTATAAGCCAAGTTCTCAGGAGGTAGAGGCAAGAGGATCTGAAGTTCAAGGTCATTCTTGCCTAATAGCAAGGTAGAGGCAGCCTGAGCTACACAAGACACTTTCATAAAAACGGACATGCCTCACATACATGAAAAATAAGGAAAACCGCATTCTAATAATAGAAAAGAATCCTCCCTTTCCCAGCTGCTCAGTATATGCATGGGAAGAACTAATTCTTACAGTAAGAAATCAGGAGCCTCCCCTCATCCTCAACACCAGCAAGGCACCCCAGAGCCCAATTGTCCTCACCATCTTGGCCACTGGAACCTCTTGGCACACAAGAATGCAGCAACCTCGCCAGCAGCTGGAGGCACCGGTCAGTCCTCAGCAAGGGCATGTAGGCATTGGTGGCGAGCTTCCCCAGTGCATCCAGCAGGGGGTCTAAGAAGATCCTCAACACGTTCTGAGTCCTCTGCTTTTCTCTAGATGGTGAAAGAACAGCCACATCAGCCATTCAAAAACATGACCGTTCCCCAGCTAGCACTCTTGTTGCAAGTTAGCTCAGGGGTCCTACAAGTTGCTTCATGGATAGTGCACATACCCGGGACCTGTGAGGGAGGACCCAACTCTATGTCTGAGCGTTCTACTGTCTTTAACCCTCACAGTGTGAGACACAAATCCTAAACCCATGCTATATGTTAAACTGCCAAAGTCCTTACCAATGGTTTTGTAACAAAGCAAAACAAGAGAGAGCAGAGAAGAAAATAGGTAAAAACAAAATGCAAAAACAAAAATCAATGAATAAATTTTAAGAAAAGTGTAAACTAGTAGAAGACAGGTAACATCAACTGTTTTTTAAAAAATACCAAAAGAAAACCCTAAAGATATGAAACTATTATGACCAAAGACTCTGGCACTAAAACTTCATCTACATGGGACATGATGTATCAAGGTGCTGTTTTATCTTTAGCACAGTGGCTGAGCCTCACTCTCCTGCTATTTCAGCCAGCGGCTACAACTCTGCAGTTACTGGCCTGCTTCTCTAGCAGTGGCCTTGACTGCTCAGGCCACAGCCTGGTGGGAATTCTGTTCCTGAAGGCACCGGCTCTGCTGCTGCCACTAAAGGTGCCTTTTACTAAATCTCTACCATTCTATTTATAAATAAAACTGAAGACTCAAAGGCTGGGGTAAAAATCTGCTTGCTCACAGAGGTTGAGTAGCACCTAGCTAACCTTCTCTTCTAGTTGGTGTCTTCCAAAAGCCCCTCCTTCTGCTCCACAAAAACAAAATAAAAACCCTTGCCACTCAAAACCCCTCCCTGATACTTCCCGTGCATCAATCTCTTCCAGATGCTCTTTGATGCCCCATGATTACTTTCTGTCAACTAGTTGCTAACTCAGCCTCCTGACCTAAGGTTAGTTTTATTTAATTAATGCAAATGAAAACTTGGGGTTCACAGTGTGACTGAATATCCCCCAACATCAAGTTAACCGTATACCATGCCACTGCTACCATCACAGAGATCTTAGCATCTACTTTTCTAATACTAGTATAAAAAAGTAAGCATCATCTATTCTCTAATTGAATATTAGATTGCAAACTTGACATCTAATTTACCAACCTGTAAGCATTAGGTGGCCCTACTTCTATTAATCAGCTGTTAAATTAAACATTTCTTTAGTATGTGGCCAGTGTTCTAGATCTGGTCTTTGTTAGTGACTCTACCAATCACTGAAAAGTCTAAATATCCATGATAAATCTTATTAGCGCCCTTCCTCCCTCCCCCTCCACCAAGCACTGAAGAAACAGTGACCTGAACTGAGTCTTCATTCCTTCCACGTCCACAGCCAGAAGAACCATCAGAGAAGTCAGCCTGGCTTCAAGCCAGTCTGGCATAAAGCAGCTTTCTCCTGATAGGATAACAAAAATTACAGCTTAGGAAGCATTCTTGGGGTCTGAGAAATAGTTCAATGGGTAAAGGTGCTTGCAGTCAAGGCTGATGACCCAATTTGATCCCCAGGACCTACACGATGGGGAAAAAAGAGCAGACTCCCATAAGTTGTCTTCTGACCTCCAAATGAGTGCTGAGGCATGTGTGTACACGCACACACGTGCTTTTTAATTTTTAAAAAAAAAATTTTAAAAGGCATTCATTAACTCCTTCAAAAATGATGGGCTGAAACCAAACCAGCTCCATGATTATTCCTAATCCATGTTACATCCTTAGAGAAACACATTATGATGTACCATGTTTAAAGACAATAAAAACAACTCCTTGTCCCTCTGCTGTGTGCAGAGATCCTGCTTGAATACTACAGACACACGCACGTTCCTCAGACCATAGAAAGTGTTCAGCCAAGAATACCAGAACTGTTATTGCCACACTGAAGAGATGTGTCTGCAGCTGGAGTACACACTAGGGGAAGTGCCCTGGTCTGGGGACAATTGAGCTGAAGGGGACAACTGAGAAGAATGACCTGAGTGAAGGGAGACAAGAACCTCCCATGTACAAGAATGTGCAGATGGTCCCACCAGGAGAGTATTAGTCAACAGAAGGATGCATATATGTGAGAGAGAATAGCAGAAAATGAGGCGGGAGACCTATTGAAGAGACCCAGACACTTGGCAGAACATTTGAGGCGCTTTGCTTTTGTCCTAGAGATAACTGGAAGCCTCTGAGGGTGCATGCACGTGTGTGTGTGTGTGTGGGGGGGGGGGGGGTTCCAAAATGGAAACTGTAGGAAGCAAAAAGAGGAACAAGGGAAGCAGCCGCCAAAGCAAGCCCAGAGGGGCTGAGGCTTCCAGAAGACACCTAACCCTGGACAGGAGAGGTGAAGCACCAGGGCTGGGCAGCCTCAGACCCACTGGAGCCGCTGTGTGTGACTGCGCTCGCTAACAGCAGTGAAGGTTTGACTTTAGCTGCAGGTCCAACCCCAGAAGCTCAAAAGCACAGAGAATGCACCTGAGAACAAAGAGGAGACACTCAGGAGAGAACGCTGACAGACAGACTTGAGCTCTCGAAGGACAATTACCTATCAGTTGAGACCCACTCCTGGATCAGACAAGAGAAATTGGATGAAATGAGCTGATCTGAGACAAAGGCGGGAATTTCAGATGTGTTCAATCAAAGGCACAATTTCCCCAAATGATGGCAAAGGACCTCAGTGAAGAGGAAGCATTAGAAATGTAAAAGAAATCCTAATTAATGAGACTGAATTCTTCCCTCATGCAGGCTGACATATTTTCTCCAAACATCTTTGCAAAAGCAGTCTCTGCCAGGAGTGGGGCTCAGTGGCAGAGCACCTGCCAAGCAAGCCCGAGGCCACACCAGAAGCACATTAAAAGCAAAAGAAAACAGGGAAGGAGAAGAATGGTCTTCACAAGTGTGTAATGAAAATAAACCTCCAGCAAAGTAACCCTTCCAACAGTGTGCTCTCTGAAAAAGGGTTTTAGTGGCTGGAGATATTGCTCAGGGGCAAAGACTTAGCACGGAAAGGATGAGTTTGCAGTTCAGATCCCAGCACCCATGTAAAAGCTGGCAGGAGTGGTGGTCCACCTGTAACCTCTGCGCTCAGAGGCAGGGACAGCAGATCCCTGGCATAAGTTGGCCAGCTAGACTAGCCAGTCAATCAGCAAGAGCCAGGCTCAGTGAGAGACCCTGTCTCAGAAAATAGAGTGGAGAGCAACTGAGAAATCACTTGATGCCAAGCCCATCCTACACACACACACACACACACACACACACACACACTTACACACATACAAACATATACACATGCACACACATTACACACATGTCAATCTGATAAATAAACACAGTGCTTCTAACGCATAAAAAATAAACCCATTTGCATTATTTGCATTCACCAGTTTCCATTCTGGAGACCCACACACACCTGCCCTAGTAATTGAGCACTTCCTCAAAGTGTCTATATGGTTTAACATCCTCAAGTCCCAAAGCCCAGAAAGCCAGGAGCGTTTCTGCTCACGGGGCTAAGTTCAGACTTACATAGCACAAGCGCTTTTGCCCACAAATCAATCTACAAGTTACTTATGACACATCCCGTCACTCCCCAAAGAGGAGTTCAGACTCACTTTCCCAACCAGGAGACTTCACAAACTCCTGAACTAGCTTCTTCACATAAGCATTTAACGACGTCTCCTGTCCATCAGAGCCACCAATCGAGGACTGCCTGAAGTATCTTTCGTTGACACGTAGCCAGTCACAGAGCTAAACAGGAAAAACATGGCAGGGTTGTTTTATTCTTAAAACATAACAAACAAAGCAATTCTAATTCCTCTGAGCCAATCTTCTCTCTTTCACACAAACTGAATTGAAGTCATTAGATAGAAGAGCTTGGTTCAACCTTATGAAGCCATCATTGACTAGTGAAGAGTGGTACTGAAGAGTGTAATTTTTAATGTGTGGTTCCTGCCTTCGGAACTGTATTAGCTAGAGAGGACCATTCAGGAACCCAGCGTAAGAAAATTTCAAACTTCTGGCAAAGCAACTGTTGCATTTTCATAGTGGCTAGTGATGGCTCCATGGGGGAAGGGGCTTTTACAGAGCTTTCAAACAGCTGATTGGCAGCTCACCTCTGTCCACAACATGGTCCCTCGTCCCAAGGACTCCTCTTGTCTCAGAGACACAAGAAAAGCTGAGATGTCAGAAAGAGACACTTTCTCCTAGGTAGAGAAAGCTCAGTTTAAACCTTTGGAGTTATATCACAGCTCTGTGGAAACAGCAAGTCAACTAAAGTAGCATGTCATTACTTAAGATACAGGAAGTTACACTGTTTAAACAAAAGAGCGGGAGCTGGGAAGACGGCTCAGTGCATAGCTGTGCTCTGGTATGAGGACCAGACTTCAGATTCCCAGAAGCATGTAAATAGCTCCACAGAGTTGGTAGTATCTGTAATTCCAGTGCTTGTGAGGCAGAGATGGGGGATCCCAGACAAGCTGGGTAGGAGGACTAGCTGGAATTGGCAAGGTTTGGGTTTGGCAAGAGACCCTGTCTCAGTAAGTAGAGCTCAACAGAAGACATCTGCCTCCACACCCATGTGCATGGGAGCATGTGTTCCCACACAGGGGCACATGCACACACACACACTTGCATGCCATACATAGATGTGACAAAATAAATAAAGGGAACTCCTCGGTGTCAATCTATTATATCAAAAGTCAATCCTTTTATTTATTCACTTACTTTTTTATATACACATATGTATTTGTGTGTGTGACTTTTTGGGAGGAGGAGGTCTGAGATTTTTGAAACAGGACCTCACTCTGCAGTCTTGACTGGCCTGGACTGAATAATCTAGCCCAGGCTGGTCTCAAACTCAAGGCAATCCTTCTGCCTCTAGAGCAGGTAACATTTTAAAAATACACATTTTCTTTAAAATCAGTTAGCATCTTAAGGATGAGTATAATCAATAAAAATATATTACTGTGAATAAAAAAATGATTCTTTAAAAGCAACAAAAAGAACCTGCAACTGAAGAAAACCACAGTGGTTCCTCAGCCCAAAGATCACAGATTCTGAATAAAGATTCTACAACAGGCCAGGTCGGCAGGCTGGCACACAGTCCCTGGGCTAAGTGATGTCCTGTTGGAACACGGCATAGGCATTTATTTAGATGACAAAAGAACCCCAAAGTTGCTGGGCATTGGTGGTGCACACCTTTAATCCCAGCACTCGGGAGGCAGAGGCAGGCGGATCTCTGTGAGTTCGAGGCCAGCCTGGTCTCCAAAGCGAGTGCCAGGATAGGCTCCAAAGCTACACAGAGAAACCCTGTCTCAAAAAACAAAAACAAAACAAACAAACAAACAAAAGAACCCCAAAGTTAAGCAGGAACCACATAACCTATAACAATGCCTCGTGTTCACGGCTCTGTCTGGCACAACAACGTGCTGACTCTGGCTCCTGGTATCTTCCTTGGGACTCCATGTCCACGAGCTCCTGTCCTGCTGAGTCACCCAGGATGGCTGGTCCCTTTACCATGCTGTGAGAATGCATGTGAGAGTCTCCCAGGAAAGTTGGCCGGAGCCTCAGGACCCAGGTTTTATTCTGGGACCTGGTTCTGCAGCAGCCCAGGCCTCACAAATGCTGACATTCCCAAGCCCCAGACAGCAAGCCACTGCTCAACACAACACAACCACATTACAAGAGCCAACACTTCCTGCACACCACACCACTTCTGTCACCTAGGATGTTGTCAATCATCCCCACGTCCAGGTCCCATCTAGACATCAAGGGCCAACCATCGGTAGGCCTTTTTGACAGTGCTATCACAGTCCAGACTTGTGTGCACAGGTACTCCCTGAGAAAGAATTACAAACGGGTGTGGACAGGCACACTCACCACATCCACCAGATGCATGGCTGTCTGAAGAAGATAGCACTGTGCTGCTCCTCTCAGGAGGACCTGGTGTGTGATCATGGTGCACTGGAGAACATCCCTGGTTCAAAACAAGGACACAGGTAGGTACGAGAAGTCCAACCACTCACAATCACTTACACAGCCTACAATTCCAACATACAAAGTGATCATCGGGGCTGGAGAGCTGCTCAGAGGTTAAGAGCACTGACTGTTCTTCCAGAGGTCCTGAGTTCAATTCCCAGGAACCACATGGTGGCTCTCCGTTATGAGATCTGGTGCCCTCTTCTGGTGTGCAGATGGAAGCAGAATGTTGTAATAAATAAAATCTTAAAAAAAAAACAAAAACAAAAACAAAGTGATCATCATCAGTAGTGAGTCACCAGGAGTAAGCATCACCAGAAGGGGTCACCAGATGAGGTCAGTACCAGGAGTGGCCAGCACCAGGAGTGACTGTCACCAAGAGTGTCCAGCATCAGAAATGACTGTCACCAGGATTGGCTAGCACCAGGAGTGACTGTCACCAGGAGTGCTAGCACCAGGAATGACTGCCACCAGGAATGGCCATTACCAGGAGTGAGTATCACCAGGCGTGACCAGCACCAGGAATGGTTGTCACTAGAATTGACCAGCACAAAGAGTGACCATACCCAAGAGTGCCAGCACAAGGAGTAACTGTCACCAGGAGTGGCCAGCACTAGAAATGATTGTCACTAGGAGTGACTATCACCAGAAGTGGTCAGCCCAGGAATGACTGTCGCCAGAGTGACCATCATCAGAGGAGATGCAGAGCCAGTTTCCACCATGATCGTAAACAGAATACAATTTTCGTTTTTCTTTTCTATCTGAGACAAAGTCTCAGTATGCAATCCACATTGATCTCAACTTCCCTCTAGCTAAGACTGGCCTCAGGTTTATGTGCCTCCTCAATCATCTTCTTAAGTATTGGAGTTACAAGAGTGAGCCACTACACCAAGACAGAGTTCAGTTTTAATATGAACCCAATCTCTTTCCATGAGAAAAAGCTGGGCATGGTACCTCGTGCCTGTAATCCCAGCACTTGGGAAGGTGAAACAGGAGGATTGCTGGGACTCAGAAGTCAGGAGGATTGCTGGGACTCAGAAGTCAGCTTGGGCTACACAATGAGAACTGTCTCAAGGAAAAAAACAAAAATATACTTAAATGCAAATGTTTCAAAGTAAGAATTTCATATACTTTTAAATACTTTCTAATCAATATTATGATTTGATATCTGTCCTTAATTTTTCCTACTTAGGAATACAATTAAAAACAAACTAGCCTTAAAGTGGTCAAAACCCAAGTGCATATATTATGTAATATATTTAAATTAGTAATTCATCAAACAAAATACGTCCAATTAATTACTTATATAAATTTAAAAAACATGTCAGTTTTTTTCTTACACAAAGCTATGAACCGAGTCATAGCAAATAAATGAATACATAGTGAGTTAATTACCTGAGGGCAAGAAGCCCTTCTCCACCCAGGGCCTTACATCTGGGCAAGCTTGCCAAAGCCTTGGAAAGGAACAAAATCGGCACGGCACACCAGTGTCTATCTGCCATCCTCTGAATGAACTTTAACAGGAAATGACCTGGAAGAAAAGGGTTGAATTTGTTACTGCTACAGGGAGCACATGGACAAGTCCTCTGCTTCCTTAGTAAGAAAATACAAACCAAAACGCCAGTGAGACAGCACCCCAGACCCACTGGATTGCTGAAAGCAAAAGGAAAACAATAGGAGTTGAAAGGATCTGGAGAAACTGGGATGCTCACACTGCTGGTGGGAATGGAAAGCGTAGAGTCAGCGTGGACAACATGTAGATAGAATGTGACCCCCCCCCCATCCACTTCCAGCTGTGTAACGAGGAGAAGTCACCACAGGTTCATAACAAAACCATTTATAGGGACATTCACAATGTCGCTGTTCACCATAGTGAGAAGAGAACCTACAAATGCCCATTGAGCAATGGATGGATAAATAACCCAGAGCAGCCCACCATGGAGTGAGGAAATGAAGCTCCTGCTACATAAACTCACTCTCTGAAGAGGCCAGTCCTAAGATGCCATGTGCTCAGTACCCCATGGGAAATCCATGGCACACACACACATCAGAGGGACAGGACTCGAAGCAGAGGCTGGTGTGTCAGGCCCAGTCACTCAGGAGGTTGGGGTTCTTTGTGCAGACGAGGGAAGTAATTTGGAAACACAGTGGGAACAGATGTACAATTTTAAATATAGTGAACACCAATATCTGAACAGTGTAAAGTGTGTAAATGGAGGGCTGGTGGGAAGGCTCAGTGGTTAAGAGCACTGACTGCTCTTCCAGAGGTCCTGAGTTCAATTCCCAGCACCCACATGGCAGCTCACAACTGTCTGTAATTCCTGTTCCAAGGAATCTGACATCCTCACAGATATACATGCAGGCAAAACACCAACATACATAAAAATAAATAATTTTTTTAAAAAAGGGAGACTTAAGGAGTATAAATTAAATCTCAATAACACTATTTTGACAATTATTGCAATTTCATTCCTATTTAATATGATAGATTCCACCGTGCTCTGGGGAATCTGATAATCGGGAAATCGAGGTTTGGTTTGGTTTTTATAATTGACGATAAAGAAGGGTTTCTTTTGTGTGCTTTTTGAGACGGGGTCTCTCTAAGTAATCTAGACAGGCTGAATTCATGGCAATTCTCCTGCCTAATCTCCCCTATACTGGAATTACAGGCATGAACAACCACACACCCAGTTAGATGGGTTAGCCCCTAGCTCCTGGGCACACCTTTCTGGAAAGCCATTTCATGCCTTCCTTGGGTCTCATTTAGTGGTTGATGTTCTTTTCTGAGACACAAAGGGTTGGTGCTTCCTCCATCTTCTCTGCTAATGGTTTCTTTTCACTGAACTATTTTCTTCTGTTAAGAAATTCCAGAAGGGGGGCTGGAGAGATGGCTCAGAGGTGAAGAGCACTGACTGCTCTTCCAGAGGTCCTGAGTTCAATTCCCAGAAACCACATTGTGTCTCACAACCATCTATAATGAGATCCGTTGCCCTCTTCTGGCCTGCAGGCATACATGCAGGCAGAACATTGTATACATAATAAATAAAATCTTTAAAAAAAAAAAAAAAGAAAGAAAAGAAAAGAAAAGAAAAAGAAATCCCAGAAGCAGCCAGGAATGGTGGCGCACACCTTTGATCCAAGCATTCGGGAGGCAGAGGCAGTGGATCTCTGTGAGATCCAGCCTGGTCTACATAGTGAGTTACAGAACAACTAAAGCTACATAGTGAAACCTTTTCTTGAAAAAAATTCCAGAGACCTCTGGAAACTGGAAGAGACACTGAGAACTGTGGGAAAGCATTCTGCTCTCCTCTGGCTGCACTAATCAGATCCAATACTCCCTCACATAGTACAACAGCCAGACTTCCCTTCAAAGTCACCCCACACACTTCTGAGCCCGGGCGGGCCACCAACACCAGGCAGGCAGCCTCCACAGGGCACTTTGCAGAGGAGACAGTATACGGACCATAAGGCCAGTGCTCTGCTGCAGACACCTGCATGGCACTGATCATAATAGCCACATGATGGCACATGTAGCAAAACATGTTAAAAGTTAAAAGTTAAAATAAATTAAAATCTCTACTGACATACTCTTTGTTTCTTCTGGAAGAAGAGAAACATAAGTGACTAGAAACTTCTGCAGCTTTAATCCCAGGGGAGAGCCACTTCCCAACAATTGCCCTGGGGACCTGTGGACAAAGGGGGAGAAAAACATAAACTTAAAATCCATTTACAAATAGGCATACAGTCATTAGTTTAAACGCAACATGGCCCTGGTTCTCAGAGTTAAAGTAACTGGGCAACTCTTCTTGTCCTTGACTTGCATTTCATTTTTCAGAATATCTGGAGACTGTATGAACACAGAAACATCTAAATGTTCTAATAGAATTCTCCAGGACTCTCAGCAGTTAGACTGAAGGGGCGTGGCAGCCTACAATGACACTTCCCTTCCCTCCTTACATAGTCTAGTATCATAAAAAAAAAAAAAAGATAGCTAGGGACTAGCAACTTAAACTACTTCATCGTTGCCAACATGTAATTCAATAACTTAAATCTGTAGGTTAAAGTATTTGGCTATGTGAGTTATCTGCTAACTGAACACAACAGGGCACCAGAAGGTGTACACAATAAACGTGAGCACTGACTCTCCCAAAAGCATGGAGGCTGTGTGTTGAGTTCACACTGCCTAGCTGCAAAAGCATGGAGGCCATGTGCTAAGTTCACACTGCCCAGCTGCCTCACAAATGCCATCCAACAGTGACTCACTGAAGACTCAAAAATCCCTGTCAATCATGCCATTATGTTTTCAATATTTATTCATCAGACACCAGAAACTAATATATTCCTGTCAGTTGGCCTGGATACTAGCAATTTTTAAAGAAATTGGTGGGGAGTGGGATGATTTTCTTTTTTAGAGGCCTCCTAAGCATACTTTGCTTATAGCTAATGAATTTAGTGATCAATATCAGAAAGACAACATAAAAAGCAGAGGAGATCTGAAAGGGCAATCTCAGAGTATAGATAATTCTCCAAATGAGTCTAAAGTACACAACTAACAAACTTCTGTCTGCTAACCTTTTCCAAGGGTGAAAGCTGTGAATAAGCAGACCTCTTAAAAGCCATGGCAGCCACTGTCAGATACAGAAAGGAACATGTTAGGATGGACTGTGCGGAAACAGGAAGGACAGACACCAGACACACTGGTGTGAACTCAAGGTTCTCAATATAGGTGGAGGGAGGGAGGGAGAGAGAGGAGGAAGAGGGAGAGAGTGAGGGAGGGAAGGATAGAGAGGATGAATGGGGGAGAGGGAGATAGAGAGTATGAAGAAAGGGAGGGAAGGAGGAAGGGAGGGGAGAAAGGGAGGGAGGAAGGGAGGGAGGGACAGACACATAGCTGAAACACATAGGAGAGTAAGTCAGTTCAGCAGACAGAGCAACACACACACACACACACACACACACACACACACACACACAAGTAAATTCCATTAGACATTAATATCTGCTGACCAGAGGTGAACAATAAAAGTCAACTCTGTGTTATCCCCCAACTTTTCTAGAAAACTGTGAACTAAGTCAGAATTAAAAAGCTAAAACAAAAAGGTGGGCTAGGCATGTTTCATGACATCCGTGTGTATATAGATGCACAGCCCTGTACTGCTGCTAGGGGCTGGGCATGTTTCATGACATCAGTGTACATAGATGCCCTAGGGGCTAGGTATGTTTTTTGACATCAGTGTGTGTACAGATGCACAGTGCTGCACTGCTGCTGGGGAAGAGAATGACCTTTTGGATTAGTGCCTTCATCCATGATGTGCTGCTGGCCTAGCATGCACAAGGCCTTGTGCTTGGTCCCTAGCCCCACAGCAATGACAGAACAGCATGGGTGCTTACCTGCTGTACAGACAGCTCTCTGAGAGGGCATCCATCAGTGGGCCAGTAATAAACTAAAAGGGAAAAGGAAGGGAATTGACACAAATTTCCAACAGCAGGAAGAGAAGAGGACTTGAGGAGTCAGGTAGACAGAGACCGGGGATGTGGCTCAGAGTGCTCACTTGGTTCTGCTTGGGGACACAAGAGCGCTGAGGACAGAGGAGGTTTATGCAGGATCCTGTGAGCACAAACAGAATGCTGCCACAAAATAACAACCTCCAGGGCTCTGGGCGTGGCTCAGGGATGAAGGAGCTTGACGAAGAAACTAGGTGGGAAATACAGTAATAGGAAAATAAAGATTCCTCAAGGGAAGACTGACAGCCTTGCTGAGAAGGAGGGTGTTGGGGACTAACATTCCCCCAAATAGTCCTAGACACTCTCAACCACATCCCCAGCATACCTGAAATGCAGGGAGCAGAATGCATCTCAGGTGCTTATAGTGTGGAGTTCAGACAGGAAAAGCAGGTTGGTGTGTGTATCTCTAATGCAAGGTGAGCTACTGGGTCTAAGGAAGGGAACACGGAGCTACAGGGCCTGACTGCATAGACCCTAACTCTCTTGGTCCACTCACTATGTGAGGCTGATGATGGACAGTGGCAGAGACAAACAGAGCACAGACCAAAGATGGCAAAGTGCACACAGACAACTGTGACCCATAGCTCCAGGACAGCATCACCAGGAGCTTCCCTGCCAGACTGCAAGCTCTGCCAAAGACAACAGCTGAGGAATAACGCAGACAAGCCTACTGTAACTGTCAGCTCAATGGGATCTTGGCTCACCCATGAGGCCAGTCGCAGACACACCTGTGAGGCACTGCTTTGATTAAATCACCTGAAGCAGAAGACCCACCCTGAGAGTGGACAGCATCTTTTGGCAGCCGCCCAGATACAGAAGGACCAAGGAAAAAGTTGTCTGTTTGCCTCCTTGTCTTCAGCTCTTGCTTGTGAGTTCATCTACCCTGTAGCTGCCACCATGGCTGCTACTGCTACTGCCATTCTTTGCTCCATCAGAACCCAGCTTCTTTGGGCTTCCAACATGGACTGAATACTCAGTGGCTCTCTAGGAACCATCCAGGCCTTCAGTTCCAGAATGGACAACTGACGTATCCAGCCTCATGCCTGACCAGCTACTGCTTTTCTGCCTTCCCAGCTAGCAGATGGCAGAGGCAGAGGCCAGAGGCCAGAGGCCAGAGGGCAGAGGGCAGAGGGCAGAGGCAGAGGCAGAGGCAGGTGGATCTCTGTGAGTTCCAGACCAGCCTGGGCTCCAAGAGCTAGTTCCAGGAGAGGATCCAAAGCTACAAAGAAAACCAATGTAAGAAAAACCAAAAAAAAAAAAGCAGAGCTTGGTGTGTGCAGATGTATAAAAGGTTCACCCTCGCTGCAGCTGCTGCCAGAGGCTCTGCAGTGTGGGTGGTCTGCCTACTCTTCCTAACTCAGAAGGGCATAGCCTTTCCTTCTTTTCCTCCTTCAGTTCCCTGACCAAAACCTGGGCATACCTTCCCTGACTGTCTCACAGGTTTTCTGATGTTCCCACATCCCATTCCACCACAGCACAGATTTCCAAACTCCATGCAACTTTCCCACTTGGTTGTTTTTCTCTTCAACACAAAAGATCTTGAACTTGAAAACAAAAGACCATGTGACAGAGACACGGCCTTCACCTCCTATGTTCTGAGGATGGTTAAGGAGGAAGGGGCTGGGATGTCATTACCTCGGAGAGTTCCGGTGAGTATGGAAGCGATTTCACTTCATACAGCTCCAAGAAGTGGATCACGCCTTCTTTGGTCAGGATTTTATTCTCGCTTTCAAACATTCTTTTATAAATGCACATGTGCCAGGAGGGGTGGAAGAGCCAGCAGCCTGTGGGAAGGAGCACCCGAGTGACATACAACTGTAACCTTGGATCTCTGTGCAGAGACTGGAGGCTTACACCACAAATCTGCGTGCAATGGACAGTCACACTAACAACATGTGACTTTCTTAACACATCACGGAGCGTGCAGAACCCAATCACCCAGCCTTCAGCATTCTGGATGCACTCAGCTACTGCAGTTACCACAGTGCTCAAGAAAGCCTGTCTGGACTGGCAGGCGGAACTTTAGATCTGGAGTGGCTTAGCACATTCTTCCTATACTCAACTTGAGGTCATTTTTCACACACAAATCTCAAACCATCACCCACCCCCTCTACTTAAAACCTTTGAATAGCTTTCCGCCATTCTTAAACTGTGAACAAGACACAGGTTGAAGCTGGCCACCCCAGTGCCCCTACCATCCTCATAGAGGTCCCTATCCCAGGGCTAGTCAGCTCCTAGTCTGAGTTTGTATGTCACCCCCATGTCATGCCTAACCTCCCCTTTACATGAACTCCTTTTTGGTCCTTTCTCTGTTCTCTTCATAGGACTTGGAGCCAAAACTACTGTTTCATGGGAAAAAAAAGAGACAAAACTCAAGTGGAAAAATACTGTGCTCCTTCCCAACCCCAGTGCTTGTATACATTGACATGGAGTAAAGTCCTCTCAAGTGAATATATAATTAAATCTATAGTAAAAGACAGAATACGGGCCTGGAGAGATGGCTCAGTGGTTAAGAGCACTTGCCACTCTTCCAGAGCACTGGGGTTCGATTCTCAGCACTCACATCAGGCAGCTCAAATTAGCCTGTAACTCCAGCTGCAGCAAAACTAATACCTTCTTCTGGCCTCCGAGGGCATCTGCATGGATGTGGTGCACCACATAGACACACACACATTCACAAAAATAAAAATCTTTAAAAAAAAAAAAAAAGATGGGATAAACGTGTACCTTCTATATACTGTCTCTGATTCTTAAAATAGCCTTTATTTAATTATATTAGCAAATCACCTTTTTATCTCATGGTATTCTATAACTAAATTGGCCTACTGTCTGTAATTCACTCCAACATGCCTTTTCAACTCTGTCAATGGTAACTTTTCGAAACCAGTCAGTGCTGTTTGGCCATGGGCAAAACATGTAATGAGAGCATCATTTTAACAGCAAGGGCTCAAGGGAATGGCAGGATCCTATTAAATGCTAGCCCCAGGTGGGACAAAAGATGCCTATGGTCTGTGAAAACTCTCACTGTGTCAGAGAACAGCCGCAGCCACGAGCAGAATAGAGACCAATTCCTAAAGGCTCAGACTATCAGGAAGGTAATTACCCAGGGCAGCCACCACCTACCAGCCAGAATCCTCATGAATAAATACATAACACAGCACCTTCCCGTTCCTAAGGACAGAGAGCCTCCAGCCTGCAGTTAGCTGCAGCTTAATCTCACAAAGGCACTTTAGGAAGCTCCAGGTCTGCTGTGTTTCTTCTCAAACACTTTCCCAACTCAGGAGTGATCGAGGGCTCAAAGAACACAGCCTTGAATGACCTCTTCCTAAGAACTTCCTAACAAACAAACTATTGCCCATCCAGTCTAATAAACAGGAGATAGATGTGTATTTATATATTAAAAAGACACACAAAGACAGTAAGTCTGGAAAGCAGTTAAAGTATACATCTGTATCAAATGGCTATTATTTAAAAAACAAACAAACAAACAAGGCACTACCATGAAAGCCTTGACAGTTTCTTATTTGTGTGAGTGTGCAGAGGCACGTGTACATGTGTATGTGCTCCAGCTTGGGCACATGTGTGTGGAGGCCAGAGGTTGACACCCGGTGTCTTCCTGGATCCCTCTCCACTTTATATAGCGAGGCAAGGCCTCTTGCTGAGCCCAGAGCTTGCTGATTTGGCTAGTCTGCCTCGGGAATGCTGGGATTGCAGGTGGGTAAGCAGACCCACAAGGCATTTATATTGGTACTGGGGGGTCCTCATGCTTGTACAGCAAGCCCTTTACTTACTGGGCCCTCTTCCCAGCAGGCTCTTCGAAGGACACACCCTGAGACGTACAGATGAAGAAAGGATGCTGAGCTGCTAGAGAGGGAGCAGCAGGTGCTGCACATGACCCAGGAGATGAGGCTGCCCACTCTGTATTTTTGCTATGACCAAGACAGGGCACGGGTTCATCACACATTCTTTCCTTTCTATAAAGAAAGGAAATATTTTTGATATCTTTATAATAAACTGTTTAAGAAGAAACTAATGCTTCTAAATTACTGAAATCTCTGACGCCATTTAGAGCTATGTTCTAAGGAGATGGGTGGAGGGTGCAACGTAGACACAGGGCAAGTGGGCTACCCATGTTGCAGTGTGCTCAGACAGTGTGTACCCATAATGCCAGAGGCCAGTAACACTTGGAGTGGTATTTTGAGATGATCCCATTTCCTCCTCCGTGGTTAACGGTCTTCCCAAAGTCTTTGTGATAAATAGTGGTTAGTTATGAGATCAGGGGGATTACTAACATTATTAAAACAAACAAATAAACAAAACCAAAAAGTAATCGTTACCATTTTCCTCTGATACTGCGTATTCAAACAGACTGTTTAGCTTTGGTAAGACTGGCTTTATGACATGTATCTAAAAATAAGAGCAAAGAATCTCATGAAAAATCACACGAAACGCCTTTAAAACCTCAGGGGAAGGTTCCTGTTTACAGAACTGTAGCCTTCTCTCATTACTATGTCTAAAACAGGTGTCAGGAGCCTGATTCTCCCTAGTCTGAACAGCAGCATTATCATGTGTGTGAGACGGAGCAGGCATAGCCGGAGCAGGCACAGCTGGGGAACTGTCTACACCCCAGTTATGGTGCCATGTATATTTCCACAGGGAATATCCTAACTCATATCATGTGATTCTCGACTGACCCCAGAAACTGGCAAGACTGGGAGATTAAAATGGGAAAATGTATGGAAGCATTTCCCCTAGTTCCCACCATTGTAGGGGTCACACACTGAGAAGCAGAGTGAATTCAGAGCCCAGTGTTCTTGTGTCTTTTATACCATGCTGTGACAATTCAGCTGGAGTATGACTCACAAATTCAAAATAACTTTAAATCTAAGTTTCTAAAACAAATAATGAAGGTCTTATGGGTTAGTTGACCAAAGCAACCCTGGAAGTCTATCTGAACTTAGGAAGGCTGCCCATTTCCCATCCTTTGTCTCTGTACACTTAGCATGGAGCGGGTTGGTGCTGTGGACTGACTCCACAGATTGACACCTCACATTGACACCACAGATACTGATCCATGGTCTGCAGCTTACAGACAGGGGAGCACATGCAGGAACCTCACAGGTGGAGACTCTTACAGCTGAGGTGTCTTACACACTGGGACCCTTTTAAACAAGAAAAGGAACCATAGACAGGAACCCTGATATGTTGGGATTCATACAGAGAGTGACTTTTAAAACTAGATACGAGACACCTAGACGCCAGGACAGCTGCACAGGTGTCACCTAGAAACTTGTAAAAGTTCATACTCTCAGGCCTTACTCTGAATGAACTAAAGCTAAAAGTATAACACTAGGGGTGGGCCCACTAATTTATATTTGGTAACATGCTGGATCACCCTGACAAACGCAGCAGTTGGAAAATGCCAAGGGAAGATCAAATGAGACTAAATTTTTGAACAATCATGTGAATCCACTGAAAGCATTTTTTAATTTCCATAAACAATTTACATGCCATCTTAAATTGTACGTATTCCAGAAAGCAAAGGATTCAGCCCTGCTTACACAAGCTGGCCTTCCCATGAATGCCTGGGAAAGACCCTCGGACCACAGGATCTGCTAAGACAGGAGAGCACATACCTGATTTCCTTCTAGAACTTCCATGATCAAGATATAGTTTTCCCAAAACTTTAGAAGCTCGTCTTTTTTCTTCTCAGACCACCAGAACAGGCTTGGACCTAAGAGAATATTAAAAGGGGGGAAAATCAGTTCTTCCTTTAGCTATGTGGTTAAGTCCTTCATAACAATAATTCTTAATTCCAGTGTCACCAAATGAGGCAATCACTAACCATGGAGGGGACCCACTTAAAAAGCTTGGGAAACTCAAGAAGAAATTTGTTGTAGAATACTCCTTTACACAGTGTGAAGATGTGTCACTGTGATTAGTTTAATAAAAAACTAAATGGCCAATAGCTAGGCCGGAGATATAGGCGGGACTTCTGGTCAAAGAACTCTGGGAAGAAAGGCAGAGTAGCCAGCAAGATGGAGAGGAAGCAAGATGGGGAATGCACAGTAGATTAAAAGATATGGGTTAATTTGAGTTAAAGAACTATTTAGGAACAACCCTAGCTAAGGTCAAGCTTTCATAATTAACAAGTCTCCATGTCATTTTTTATGAACTGGCAGTCCAAAGAAAAATCTGTCTACAGAAATTCTGTTTAATTTTGTTGTTGTTGTTTGCTTGTTTGGCTACTCAGAGTTTGAATTTTTGCTTTTGTTTTTTGGGTTGAGGGACTTTTTTTTTGAGACAAATATCTCCCAGACTAGCCTAGGATGTCTTGAACCTCCTGCCTCTGCTGGGATGGCAGCCATATGCCACCATGCCTAGCCTTGTTTTTGTTTCTGTGTTGCTTTGTTTCCTTAAGCTTACTGTTGTGAAATTCTGGATAAGAATGACAAGTTTGCACAAACTCTACTTTCTTCCCCAAGACAGTAAAGGCAAATCCCTAAAAAACCTGAAACAACAAAAAACAAAAATAACCCAGGAACATACAAAGCAATAAAATTTAGAATGTGAAAATCTGAGCTGACTTTGGAAGGAAATGAATAAGGTTTAGCTGACACAGGCAAAGCCAAGAAATAATCTGATTTGCCTTAAACCCACCCCACCCCCATACCAAAAACTCAGCAGCAAGTCTCTGCTATGAGTGGAGGTGGGAGCCTGAGCTGAGCCATGGAGGGGTTTGCCCACTGAGGTCAGAACAGGATGCTGTGTAAATATTAAAGGGGTTGTCCCCAAACAGCCAAGCCTGAAAACTAAAATCTGATAATAGGAATAAGAACCTTGGAGAAAAGACTAGAAACCAAGAAATTAACCAGTGAGTGAAGGAAAAGACAAAATTCTAGAAAATTCACTGGAGAAGAAAGACATTTTAAAGGTGCTCTGGTTAGTTTTTGTCAGCTTGACACAAGCTAGAGTCACCCAGGAAGAAGAAGTCTCAGTTGAGAAACTGCCTCTATCAGAATGGCCTGTAGGCATGTCTGTGAGGGCATTTTGTTGATTCATGATTGAGTAGGAAAGCCCGGCTCTCTGTGGGTGTTTCCACCCCTGGGCAGGTGGTCCTAGACTGCACAAGAAAGCAGGCTCGAGAACAAGCCAGTAAGTAGCACTTCCCCATGTCTCTGCTTCAGGTCTCTGCCCTAACTTCCCTTTGGTGATTTTCCTCAAGAAGAGGAGAGGAAAGAGAAAGTAAAGGAGGAAATAACCCTGACATAACTCAGGAAAACTTCCCAGAATCAAAGGACAGTGATTTCCAGACTGTGTAAGCACACCAAGTGCACCACACATGGATGAAAAGAGGAGATTCCAGGATGCCCGGGTCCTGAACTCTAGGAACCTCCACAGAGAAGTTGTGGGATCCAGAATCATCTCAACTTCCCAACAGCAATGATAGAATCTCCAGCTTCTTAAAATACAGCTGGATGGACAGATGCCTTTAAAATTTGGATGCAGGGGAGCCTTGTTAGCGTGGTAAATAGTGTGTCAGTCTCATAAAATTTGTATAGAAATGCAAATTTCTATTTGATCAGCTGGAAATTGGGCTGATCAAACCACCAATCTAGGTATAAGGTCAAAATGAAGGCGTTCAGATAGATGGTCTCCACTCTGCTTTGGAAGCAAGCACCTGAAAAGGAAATGGCGGATAACCCACAAACCCCTGAATGTTCAGGGATCATCAGAGAGCGCAATTCCAAACTATAGAAAGTGTCCTCAAAAGAAACACAAGCTGCTCCCCACATTTGGTGGAGCATGGAGGAAGGGGTGTTCTCCACCCTCGAAAAGGAGGCACTTTGAGGGAGCAATTAAAGGCTCTGAGTTGTCAGAGTGAGCAGATTAGAATCCCTGGGAACCCTAAGAGGCCACCAGCTCTTTTGCTGGCTTCCTGAGGACACAGGCAGGTCAGAGACCCTGAAGGGTCTACAAATCTATCTTAGTCTGAGGGGCAGAAGGACTTGCCCATGCCCGTGTCCTACATGACACTCAATGGTGAACAACTCCCTGGCTGTCTCTGGAAGCCACCTCCAAAAGGGGCCAAAGGAGGTGCTCGTGTCCCTACCTGATACCAAGCAAAGGCTAGCTACTGGAAAGGGACAGAAGCCGCTCTGCACCAAGAGGCCAATAGGAGTCTGCTGCTTGGGAAAGGCAAAAAACTAACTCCTGCTGGAGCCACCTCTGAGACAAAGCTGGTGTGGGCTTCAGAAGGGGAGGTGGTCAGAAGAGGAGGGATGATCAGGTGAGGGGGGATGGTCAGAAGAGGGAGGTGGCCAGAAGAGGGAAGTGGCCAGAAGAGGGGGGTGGTCAGAAGAGGGGGGGTGGTCAGAAGAGGGGGGGTGGTCAGAAGAAGGGGGGATGGTCAGAAGGGGGGAATGCCAGAAGGAGAGTGATCAGAAGAGGGACATGACTGTCAGAAGAGGGAGGAGATGGGTGTTTATGCTCTCCAACCACAGTGAGTGCAACAGACACCTAGAGCACTTGGCTGCTCCAAGCCTTTCTCTGGGGACAAGGCAGAGGGCACGGAGCTAGCAGGAAAAACTTCAGCCCTGAAGCACAGACCGGCAGGTCTAGGATGCCACTGGAGAGGCAGCCATCAGAATCAACAAGCACCAACTGTCAAGGTTCAGCAGCCAAAGGCGCTCCAGACTTCGTGCTATGCACAAGGCGACTAGTTCCTCACCAGAACTGAATATGAGAGTGTGATGAATTTGAGCAACAGCAACTCAAAGTCAGCTCAACCACAAACCAGGTCACTCAACTCAAAGCCATATGCTACAGACCTAACAGAAGTTAAAGTCCATCACTAGGCAGAAATATTTACTAAGTCTCTACTCGTTATAAGAAACCACTCCACAACCCAAAAATAAAACAGAAAGTAAAGCCAAACTTAGACATCCAGCTATTGGATATGTGAAGAACTCTTACAGCGAAGGACGTAACAGGAAAGGTAAACAGCATGGAAGAACAGATGATCAGCTGGGGACATATCAAAAGATGGGAAGGATTTTGTTTTGTTTTTTTTAAAGTTCAAATGGGGCTCAGTGGGTGAAGACACTTGCTGCCAAGCCTGACAACCTGAGTTCCATTCCCGGGACCTACCTGGTGGAAAGAGAGGACGAACTCCCACAAGTTATTCTCTGACTCCCCACAAGGATGCCATAGCATACACACACGATAAATACAATAAATAAAAAGTTCAAATGGAAATAACACATCAGACATAAAAGGAGCACCCATTTAGAAAGACAGCAATTGTGGCATGTGCTTGTAATACCAGCTGGGAAGTCAGAGGCAGGAGAATGGGGGAATAAAAGAATAGGATCCCTGGTCAGCCAGTGTAGCTAAATCCCGAGTTCCTGATGCAGAGACCCTGGCTCAAAAAATAAAATGGAGAGTGATCAAGGAAAACACCTTCTGTTGACCTCAGGCCTATACATACAGTCCACACACACACACACACACACACACACACACACACACACACACACACACACACCACTCCTATACTTCCCAAAGGAATGTCAAGGGAATACTTAATTCTGTACCTCAAGCTTCAAACGTTAACTTGGGTCACATCACCTTGCTTTCAGACTGCTACAGATGTCGACCCTTCCTTTTTCTATGATAGGGCATTGAGCAGGCTAGTTCTTACAGATCATGCTACAGAATGTGCAGTATCACACCCTACTCTGGATCCGGTGTAGGGATGGATGTCACATGCAGGTTCCAAATCCTCTAAGGATGAGGCATACGCCCCTGAAGAGCTGGTCTGGGGAAGCAGTGCAGAGCTGGGGCAAAGAGACAAGCAGGTACCAGGCTGAAGAGATGGTTCAGTGGCTAAGAGCACGTCATGCTCTTCTTAGGCCTGGGGTTTGGTTCCCAGCACTAATAAAAAGTTCACAATCGCCAGCTCAAGAGGATACGATAGCCTCCCAGGTTCCTACACGCACGTGGTACACACGGGAGTACATACATACACATAAATAAGTCATTTTAGAAAGGGAGAGAAAAGTGGGTACCCAATGTGTCCTGGGGACCGCAGTAACAGTCCATAGCCAGCTCTGCAGACAGCTGCACTGCCCTCTGCAGCAGGTAGCGCGCGCGCTTGCGCGTGAGCGCGTCCTGCGCGCGGCCCAGCCCCGCCTGTACGGTTCTCCAGAAGCTGCCGCGGAGGCGCGCATCCAGGTCCGCATGGCGCGCATCAGCTGACGGCAGCTTCTCGGCCAGCGCGCTCAGCACCAGCAGCTCTGGCCCAGTGCGGCCTTCAGCTTCGGGTCCCGAGGAGGCCAACGTGTCCCAAGCCTCCCGCAGCGCCGGTTCTGCACTCAAGGACAGGGCAGGTAGCAGGCGCGCACCCACCGCGGGCGGCGCGTCCCCGGCCAGCGCCAGCT